CCCCGGCCCCCCTTCTTTTTTCCCAACACGGGTCCCGACTTCCTCGCCCTGGCTCCCCCCCACCCCCCGGCCCCCAGTCCCCGGGACGGCAGCGTCCTCCCCACGGGCCGTGAGGGGGGAGCGGCCCCTCAGCCCCGGCCCGGCGGCTGGCTGCACGGTGGGTCCCGGCTCCGGGGGTCAGGCCTCGGCGGGGCCTAGTCCCACAGGCTAAAGCCGGCGCTGGCGACCGCTGGTCCGGCCGGGAAGGCTGGCGGGCGCTGCCATCCCGGGGTTGGGGGGACCGGAGGGGGGGGTGAGAGGTTAGGTGAGGTTGTGGTACGTGAGGTGACTGCGGGGAGGGTGATGGGGGGTGGTCCCCGGGCTCCGCCTCTCGCCGCCGCCGCCGTCTGCGTCCCGGCTGCCGCGCACTTGGCGCAAACTTACCGCGAGCGCCCGCAAAGCCACCCGCGCAGGCGCCCCGGGATCGCCGCTCGTCGCGCGCAACCGCAGTGACAGCCGGCGGCCGGGCTCCCGCGCAGCCGCAGTCAGGGGGTACCCCCCAGCGCGCAGCCGCGCTGGCATTCGTCTGGAGTGCCGAAGCCCCGCCTTTCTGCCTTGCGCCAGCGTACTAAGATAAGAAGGCGGGACCTGGGGTCTCGCGCAGGCGCCTAGGAGAGTTTCTAAGGGTCACAGCGCAACCGCAGGAACATGGGGGCTCTTCATCCATTGGTGTTTGTGTATAGACCAAGAATACTCTGTTCCTGCGCAGGCGTGTTGAGAATGCTCCCCTCCCGCCCCACAACACAGCCGCCTTCCGCGCAAGCGTATTGTCACCTGCAGGCCTTAACAAGAATGCTTCTACTTTCGCCATTTTGGTAATGGGATATAGGCTACCACGTCCTTGGAATCCTCAGGCAAGAACAGGAAGGAGCAAGGTGTGGTGTTGGCTGGAGCTGGTAGGCTGTCGGTGACAGCAGTACTCCCAGGGATATTGTACTGGATCGTTTGGTTCCCAGCGTCAGGTGTGGCTGAACTAGGCGCCATATTGGTAAAGAGAAAAAAGCCATCGCGACGGAAAACTATTCTTTTGGTATCGGGTTGGATGGCTACTGTTCACACTACCCTCCCTCTCCCGACAGTTAATTTTAGCCTCAGCATCCCTGCCTTGCGTAATGATGACACCATGGAGAGTTTCGCTGGCCCATTACTACCCTCTCTTGATCACTGTCCCTGAGAACTGCTCCAGAGGAAGCCAACAGCGAAGAGTTAGTAACGCTGACAACGCCCAGCTACCTGCCTATAGCGGACTTCAACTCCCAGTTTGCAATGCGCAAGAGGTCCAAAGGGCGAACGAGAGCGCATTGTACCCTGGGAGCAAGAATCGCGAGGGATCTGGTGGGTTGTGGGAGCTGTAGTTCCGTGTGCATGCTATGCATTGTGTGGTGGGATGGACTCGGGGATGAGAGAGTTGCCCGCCAGGAAGGGATGCTTTTGATAGCTGCAGTGCTGTATGCTGGGATTTGTAGTCTGAAGGCCTCACCTCGAATTTTGGGCTTCCCCCACGGCACCCCCCCCGCCCTTGTTATCGCTTTCAGAGATGGCCAGTTATCTCTTGCCTGACTGTAGGTGAAGAGGTGGAGATGGGAATAACATCACTGTGCCTGCCACTAGGCATTTAATTGGCATTCTTGCCAGGTACTTGTGTCCTGCTCACCTGTGATCGTTAAGCTGTAGTTAGCATTTGCAGAAGGATAAAACCGCAAAGGGGTTAAAGGCCATCTGTGTTAATCTCGTCATTTCCAGATGCATAGAGAGGAGCGGTGACTTGCCTAGTCCACATAGTGAATTTATGGCAGACCTATGAATGAAACAGATTTGATTCCCAGGCCAGGACACTTTCCACTACACCAGGTTAACTGTCTATGAGGAGTTGTTGCTGCTTCTTCTGGGATAGTAAGGAGGATGAGTTAAATAGGGTGGAGATGTCAGTGTGTGGTCTTAGGTTTCTGTTTTTCTGACTTTTCTGATGATCCTCTTGGTGCCTAGGAAGAATGATAAGGTCATGGGCCTTAACTGTCGTGTGTGGGGTGTGTGTGTGTGTGTGTGTGTGTGTGTAGGTGTCATGTAGATTGGCCGCTCTCTGCCCTCTACCAGCCTCAGCAAACAAGAAATCCTAGTGGTCATGGACCAGAGAGGCGGCCTTCAGAGAGAGTAGGGCTGAGCTAGTTGTATGAAAGTGGCCAGACCTCATCTCTTCTGAGGTTTTATTTCCTGCCACAGGCCCTCAGAAGTTGGAACCACATGTGCCCTCTTTCACTGACTTCTTACTGCTCAGGACCCAGCTGTGCTGCTGTGTCAGCCTGAAAGCATTATGGGGCAGATAAGTAGTCCATTGGCCTATGCCCAATGAGGAAGGCTTTGCTTTGATCAACATCATCATTTGCAGTGGAGAACAGGAACAGGTGGTGGGCTAATGAGGGAAATAATACTTGGCTCTGTTGACAAGTGCCAGGGGAACTAATCACTCTACACACCTTCCTCTTAGAACTTGGAGGGGAAGGTCAGCCCAGCCTTTGGAAGTTGGAGCCACCTTGGAGAGCTCCAGTCCTGGTTGTTCAGGAGGGGGTTGAGGAGAGCTAGCAGGTGGGATACAGATGTCTTCTGAAGTGACCTCTTGTGGCTAATATCGGCACTGCACTCTACATGGACTGGAGCTTTTCCAGCCTTCAAAGTGGCCTGTGGTAGAGCCAGGAGGTGGGCAGCCATGAGTGATCAGGAGCTCTCTGTTGGAAGACTGTGGAAGTAGAACGTGCTGGCGGCTGCCATTATTTCCTTCAGGGATTTTGGCTTCTGGCTTCTGAGTGTCCATAACTCCATTGCCTGCCTCATGCTCTTACTCTGGAGAGCAGCCATGCAGAGCGCACCTCTAAGCACAGATGTGCATGCTGGGGGCCGAAGCTGAGCTAACACTTTCATCTCAGGAGGTGCCTGGGAGCCGTAGGGAAGGGGCATCGAGGCTGCAAGTGACCAAACATGGCAAACTTAAGTAGATCCTTTCCAGCCAACTTCTGGAGCCCCTGGATAGGGCTTTTGCTGAAATAGGAGCCAGGTCCCGACCCTAAGCTGTGTTGCCCTTCCTCCTGATAGTCTGGATATTCCCTGAGGCCAGGATGGACTAGGGCCTCATATTTAGGAGTTCAGTCTCTGATTCTTATTCCAGTTTCCTAAACCTTGCCAGCTGGGGAAGAAGGGGAAGGAGAGAGGCATCAGGCTTCCTGGGCCTTGTCAACAATACAGTGGCATTGAGGAGGGGCTTGGGAGTGTGCCAGCCTGTAGTACTGGACCTAGCAAAAAAAAAAGAAAGGAAGCATTGGGGTAGCTGAGCAGTTGGGTTCCTGGGCTTCCACACCCCTGTGGGCCAGACACAGGGGCCTCTTGCTTCACCTACCATCTGTTGCACTGACCTTGTTGGGACAGTAGTCCCTGAGGCACCTGCATGTAAATTGTTTTGGATGAAATGTGGGAGTGATCAATCGGTGGGTCCAGCATGCCTTCTGGTCTTGAAGTCCACATCCCATTTATTTCCCACCTCCCTTCCCTCCAATAAAGCACCATCTACCTGACCATTGCTTGTTTTTTTTTTTTTTCTCCAAAAACACTGTTTTAATAAGGAAACAACAGAAATAGAAGATTGTTCTCTGGCTGGAGCCCAGACCCCATATAATACATTACATGTACAAAGTGGCCTGTAGCCAACTCCTGGGTCTCTCTCTGGGTCTCTAACCCCCTGTTCCATGCCAAATTCCTGGGCCCTTGGACCTCTGCTCCTCTCCAGAATATGCCTGCCCACTCCCCTTATCCCAAAACCCAGTGGCCAGGAAGGGAGACTGCTGGGTGGCTGGGGTTGGGGGAGGGACTAGTGGGAAAGAAGATGTTTGTAAAGCCGGATCAACATCAGGGGAAGGTCTCCCTCTCCCTGGCATATAGGGCTGCATGGGCAGAGTGGGGTGTCCTGCTTTGGTGTGGAGCATGAGTGCCTAGGGAAGCCCAACCTGAGCTTGGGGTAGCGTCCCTAAACCCCTTAGGGTCCCTTAGAATTATTGCCTCCAGGAAGCAGAACTGTCCATTCCTGGGGCCTTAGAGAAGGACGAGAAACCTCTCCGAGGGGCTGATGTCATCGTGCCAGGACTACCCAGAGGTCACTGTCGACAGCAGTTTTGGCCACTGGTGATGGCCCTGTGAGGAGCATCCTGGTGCAGTTTCCACCACCATCAAGTTCACCCTGCTGCAGGGTGCCACATACCAGGCTGGATGGTGGTCAGCCTGGAGAGAGGTGCTCTTCCTCTGCTTTTGAATTCCAGGCTAGAGGTCCAGGGCATGAAGGAAGGTCAGGAGAATGCTGGTTCTTGATGCACGTGCTCCAGCTGTGCTCTGCCCAGAGGAAGATGCCCCCTGACTTGAACCCAAGGAAGGGCCCTATGTGGGCAGTGGTACCGAGAAAATAGGCCCTGGTGGGCATTGCAGGTGGGGAAGGGCACAAGTTCTTGAGGGATTGGTGGCGTCCCTTCCCAGATGGTATGTACAGGAGGTGTAGGGACAGCAGGAAGCTGGAAACTCTGCTGCTGGGCTGTGATGCTGGGCTGAGCTGGCTTCTCCAAGCTGTCCCCACCTAGATGGAGACTTCATATTCTTTCGTCTCCTGCAAAGTAAAGAGACTGCTGGGAGTTGGAAACTTGTATAAGGTTTGCCAGCCCATAATCCACTTTCCCAAGGAAAAGGGAAAGAGTGAGAGGGCTTGGAGGGACCCTCAGGAGTACCTGCTCAAGGGAGCCTAGAATTAGGTCGTGGATAGGGTGCAAAGAATGGCATGGGTACTTACTCCAGTCTCGTAAGTTGGATTGTCAAATGCTGATTCCACAGTAATGCGGTCATAGGGGCGGGGTCGTGTCCGGGGCAGCCGCAGGGGGCTTTTCCCCTGGAGCCTGTGGGACAGAGAAGCCTGTGAGTTGAAAGTGCTGGGCAGGAGTGAGTCGGGTATGCAGGGCAGGAAGGGAAACCGGACTCACCTAGAGAAGTAGAGGTACACGCCTCCCACCAAGAGTGCCATCAGCACCAGTGGCAAGAAAATGGCGGCTGCAATGTGGGCGGCGTCCAGGGTGCTGGAGGCAGCAGGTGCCTTGGCAACTGAAAACACAGTGGGTAGGATTGGGGCAGAAGTCCCTGTGACCCAGAGCCCATATCTGTCCTCACCTCTGCCCAGGAGAATCCAGGTACCAGCTCCCTCTAGCTAGCTGGGGGCAGGGAAAGGAACTTTTGCTCTGCTGGTCCCGGACCTCTCTCTTTCTCTGCCCTCCCTTCTTGGGGAACCCATGGCCTGGGAGCTGTGAGAGCCAGGGGCAGGGAGACTATTTCCCTGGCCCTCAAAGGGGGGCTCACCATCCAGGCTGCGGCCGCTGTAGAACCCATCCAGAGAGGCTGGAACAAGAGGGGAGGGCCAAGGGCAGAGGTGAGACCAATGGGCCAAACCACTAAGGCAGGGAGTAGACTGATCATGGGAAGGATTTGTCCAAGGGGAGCCCCCGCCAGCATTTGTCTTGGTGTCACCAGGTCAGAAGGATCTGGCAGAGACTGGAGAGACTAAGGGTAACATGAAGTGGGTGTGGGCAGGGGGTTCAACACTTGGCATCTTTGCTAGATGCTCTGCTAGAGCAGCCCTGTGGGACAGGCAGGAGTTTTGGCCTTTTATTTTTTATTTTTTTAAGATTTATTTATTTGAGAGAGAGAGAGCATAGCAGGAGGGGCAGAGGGAGAGGGAGAGAGAATTGTAAGCAGACTTCACGCTGAGCTCAGAGCCCGACATGGGGCCTGATCCCACAACCCTAAGATCACAACCCGAGCCAAAACCAAGAGTCACTCAACCGACGGTGCCACCCAGGCGCCCCAGGGCAGACAGGAGTTTTGAGGGTAGCAGAACACTCACCAGCCCTACAGATGGGTGGGGGGTCACTCCAATGTGAAGGGTGTCCGGGCACACACTTGATGCTGGCTTGGCCCTTCAGCACATAGCCTGGGGCACATGAGAAGTGGACAGTAGCCCCTGCTGGGTGAAGCCGCTTCTCTGGACTGTGGGCACCATTCTCTGGGGCGCTGAGGCCGTGGCATGGCTTGAGCTGTTGCACTGCAAAGTCGGCAGAGCCCAGTGAGGGCGCCAGGTCCTTAGCCTCCAGAGGTGGCATCTTTTGTCTCCTCTCAGAGGCTTCCCCTTCTACCCATCCAGCACTTACAGAGACACTTGGGGGCCCGGTCGCTCCACTTGGGGCTGCTGGCTTGACGGTCATGGCAGGTGAGGATGGCACTACCAGTCAGTACAAAACCCTGGTCGCAGATATACCGCACGGTGGCCCCCACGGGAAATTTGGGGCTAGATATGAGGCGTCGGCTGTGCTCTACATCCCCAGGGTCATGGCAGGAAGTCACTATGGGAAAGTAGCCCAGGTAGAACTCAACAAAAGCCAGTCCACCCTGGCTTTGTTCCAAGCCAGCCAATATCTTCCTGACACGTGGCTCTGCTGCCTATTATCTGTCCTTGCCATTTGGCTGGTGCCTCCCTCATTTGTCCCCTTCCTATCCATGAGAATCAACAAACACTGGCCATCTCCCAGGGAGGGAATATTTGAAGTGCTTGGTGGATAACCCTTTGAAAAGTTATCATTCCATCTCATAGGTGAGGAAACCGAGGCTACGAGAGATAGAGGAAGTTCAAGGGCACTAGCTGGTAACAGCTGAAGTCTGGTTCAGAATCGAGGAGAGAGGCTCGTATCTTGCACTGAGGAGGGGAACATGGGGAACAGGTAGACTCACCTCTCTGGCAGGAAGGCAGGTCCTCACTCCAGGTTAGGTCCCACTGGCACATGAGGACACTGGATCCTACCACCTGGTAGCCAGGGTAGCACTGGTAAGTGACGACCGTGCCATGTACCAGCTCAGGCTGAGATGGGCTCTTCCAGCCATTGGGGATCTCAGGTAGCTCCGGACATGTGTCATTGCGGGGCACCTCTGGGGGGCACAGGGGCAGGAAGACGGAGGCCCTCAGCCAGCACTGAAGTGACTGTGCTAGCCTTCCTCAGCCTGGACAGGCCCAGCAACGCATTCCTTCCTGCTCAAGGGCCCCTCCTTGCCTGTCCCTGACATCATTCTGTCTCTGAGTTTCCTGGGTTATCATTTCGGCTTTGGCTTTACTTTCAAAAGCGTGTCGGCCGGTTCCCCAGTCCTGAGAGAGAGGGCCAGGTAGGGTGGGCAAATTGTCACTTTCGTTCAAGATGGTCAGAAGATAGAAACAAACCCCTTTCCTTAGTTTCTTATTTTTGTGACGAAGGTCTTCCCGCTGCCTACCCAAATCTCTCTTGCTGCAACGGAAGGCTCCCTTTCACTGGGCCCTCAGGGAAGATGGAGAAATAAACTGGCTTCTTTCAGGGGAGAGGATACCTGGAGCTTTCCCAGCTTTCCCTTGCTGGATCAGAGCACTCAGGCTCATTGCCCTGGCCTGTCTGACTCGCCATGCTTTGGGATCCATATTCGGGCATCCCCTTCCCCGGGGCAGTAGGGCAAGGCAGGGGCAACAAGCTCACCAAAGAAGTGGATGACAAAGCCCTGTTGGTAGCCCAGCACCGAAGCCCCAGGGTCTGACTGGAACTGTATGGTGACGTCAGCCATGGAGGTAAAGAGCTTGAAGTGGCCACGGGGCCCCGAGTACTGGCCCAGGACCCGGGCCGTCAGGTCATCCCCATCATAGAAGGTGAGCACATCACCAGGGCCTATGCGCAGCCTGCGGAGGAGGACTGTCAGGGAGGGCGGGCCTGGGGACTCCAGGCGGGGCTGGGCCAGACATGGCCCCAGAGCTCAGGAGCCGGCTTGGCCTTGCCCAGCGGGCACTCACACTCGGACGTCCAGCAGGACGCGCTTGTCCTCTTCCACGTGCACGCCCCAGATGCAGTCCTGCCCGCGGCTGTAAGGCTCCGGCCAGTTGGGGGAGAGCACCACACCAGCGGAGTCTGTGATCTCCCCACTGCACACAGCTGGAAGGCAGGGGAGGCCCGGGAGGTGCGTCCCCTCCACATCCCCCCTCCCAGTGCTATGTCCTGGGGCTGCCATCTGCCCACAGGAGTGCTGACCCATGGCCGGGAGCCCCCACCTCCTCTGGCGGGGGGTGAAGCTTGAATCTCACACATCACATGGCCCCTGTGCCCCAGGCTCTGCCGCTGGCTCTGGTCCCCCACCCTGCACCCTGCTCCCCAGGGGGGGGCCCATCCACAGGTACCTACTGACCTCGGCAGGCTGGCTCTGTCTCATTCCACTGGGGGTCGTGGGGGTCAATGCACTCGATGATGATAGAGCCCTGCTCCAAGGTGTAGCCAGGGTCGCAGCTGAACTCCACGGTGGTGCCCACGGGGTAGGAGGGGGCGCTGCTGCTGAAGTTGCCGTATTTGACAAAGGGCTCATAGCAGTGGCCCTGCTGGAAGGCTGCAAACCAGGGGGCCCAGCCCAGCTTAGCCTCAGCCAGGCCAAACGGGACAGACGTCCTTCTGCCTCCCGCCCCAAGGCCTTTATTTTCCTGACTACAAATGCATGTCCTAGGCTTGCAGCGGGGGCAGGATGCCCAGAGCACCATACCCTATCATGCTTGGGAGGCAGGCTTGATCACCATTGTATTCCCAGCACCTAGTTTTGTGCTTCATACACACAGGGCACTCAATAAATGGTTTTTTTGAGTGAATGAATGAATGAATTAATTAATGCATGCATGCATGCATGAGTGGTTCTAGAATGTCTCTTGCTGCAATTTTCCTTCTCTAAGAGTTGGGGCCTGTTTTGCTCTTCAAATTCTAGAGGATTCATTTTCTTGGACTAGAGAGCCTGGGTCCAGGCAGGGGTCTCCTGCAAACACGGGGTAAGAATCCCCAAGGCCTGGAGGGGAGGGGTAGGGAGGGGGCCTAAGTGTTAGGTGAGCAGGGGCTAAGTTGGAAGGAGCCATGAAGGAGTGGAGGTGGGCGGGTGAGAGGAGAGGCCCTAGGCTTGAGCCCTCCACCCCCACGAGGCGCCAGCAGGCTCACCCTCATAGCGCAGGGCCATGCCCGCCGCTGCCCCACTGCTATCCGTGCTGAGCTCCACGAAGAAGTGTCGGCCGGAGCTGAGCAGCCCCTCGATGGGCAGGTACTCCACCTCGTAGGAGTCATACACTGGAGGGGCCTCCACGTTGTCTCCGTTGCGGATGATGAGCCTGGGCCAGGAAAGCAGCAGAGGTGCGGCTGGTCTCACTGCCCTAGCTGGGGTGCGGCCCCCGGGCTCGGGTTCCATCTGCAGCAGGGGCACTAGCCAGCCGGGCCCTCCTGTCCCCCCAGGGCTCCCCTCACCGGTCGTCATCCTCCGCCAGGGAAACCTTCTCGAAGTGCAAGTGCAGCCGCTGGCCTTCCGGGGCCTCAAGCAGCCAGTGGCAGGTGAGATTGTGGCTGTAGTTGCCCGGGAAGCCCGGGGAGATGAGGCGGCCCGTGGTGGCGTTGCGGGTCACTCCACCGCAGGCGGCTGTGAGACAGGGCCAGGACTGTGGGCTGGATTCTGGACCCTAGATCCACTGGATGCTGGACGGCCTACCAAGCCTGCCCACCCACCCCAGCTCTTGTGCCCTCTGCGCCTCCATGGTCCTGGAGGTCAATCCTTGGCCCCTGGGACCCTGCAGCCCCAGACAGCCCAGTTTCCAGAACCCTAACCTTTCACACCCCTGGGATTATTCACGTGCAACTCCTTTGACTGCGGTAGATCTGACCAAGTGGCCCTGGGTAAGTCACTTTCCCTCTTGGCTGACTCCTCTGGGACGCTTTCCCTGACTGCCTCCAGGCAGCCCCTTAAAGCCCCTTACTCAGGGGCTCCAACCTTCTGGGTGTATCTGCTGCTTCTACCTCCTGCCACTTTCCTAAAACTAGTTATTGTTTGGATATGTCCCTTCACTAGGACCCCCCTGGGGCAGAGGCCAGGTCTTTTCAGGCCAGGCACAGAGTTGGTATTCAGTGTTCGTTGAATAAAATGAATGAGTGGATGTAAAACAGAGGGCAGGACTAGCTCTGGCCTGACAAACATCTGGTGTACCCACCATCCACCTCCAAATCTTATGGCCTCAGCAGACATTGCTAGCCAGGACCTGGCCTCGCTTACTTACACCATCGTTCCTGGGCTGACCCCTCTGGCCTGGGACTTTCCTCTTTCCAAGGGGAGGCTGAGTAGCCCACCCAGCCCCATCGCTGAAGACTTCTGGGTTACTTGGCCACCAGGTCCTGGCAGTTGAGCGGGGCCAGAGAAGGGGTTTCAAAGGCAAGAGGAGTCCAAGCAGCACTTTCCTCTCCTGGACACACAGCTCTGGACTCTGCCTGCTTTCAGAGACTGGGCTGCCCTGGCCAGAACACAGCGCCCTTGTCTTGAGATGTTCAAGATGGCAGAATATTTTAACTTAATAAGGCTCCTGGGGAGGGGCTTGTGGTGAGTTTCTTCTCCACTTCTCTGCAGAGAGGACAAGACCCACCTTTCTGCTTGGTCTCAGAACGGAACTGCCCCATGAATGTGATCATGCCTACCCTTCACTTAAATTTGTCTGCGGTTCCCTGTTACCCCTAGGTCATCCAAGCTCAAGGTGGCCTTCAAGCCCTTTATGAAGCCGGCTTTCTCCTGACTCGGCTTCAGCCGCATCCCGCATGTGCTCATCAGGCACGCCTTGTCATGGCCTCACTCCGGCCTGCTTTGTGCATTCCACACCTTTGCATATGCTGTCCCAAGAATCCACTCCACTTCCCTGAGCTAACATTCTTGTCGTCCTTCCATGCTCTCTCCCTGGGAAGCTTTCTTTGCTTCCTTCCTCATTTAGGAGCAGCTCTCCCTCCCTTGGATCCTGACCATGCCCTGAATTCACCCCATCACAGCACGGTCTGCACAGAACTTGCTGCATGCTGGTTTCCCCACTTGCCAGAGAGCTCCCAGAGGTCAGAGACCACATCTGGCTTATTCACCTCTGCTTGTGCCTAGCACCCAGGAAGAGTTTATAAAATGACATAAGGTTCAAGAGCCCGAGCTATTAAAAAAAAAGAAAGAAAGAAAGAAAGAAAAGATGTCCAGGCTGCCTTTTGCACTGCAGATTAAATACTTCATCTTCTTTCTGCCAAGAAGCCCCTCCCCCTGGTAGCAATCTCAGACTTCCTGATCGTCCAGGCCCAGAACCTGGGAGGAAGTCTCCTTCCACTTGTCCCCCTTCACTCGTCAGTGTCTCTGGGATCTCTTCCCTCGTCTCTATTCCCAAAGTCACTGTCAAGTTCAGAGTCTCTTGCCTGCCTGGCCTCCTGGCCTCCAGACACCACCTGGCTGGCTCCCCTGAGGAATAGTTCTGAGCTCCTCCCCAGCTGTTTTCTGAGTCCCTAAACACAGCCTCACCTTGTTGCCTCTGTGTTAACTGCCTGCACTCTTCCCTCCATTAAAATGTCAAACCTTCAATGTCAGTTCCCCCAGGAAGTCTCCTAAAGACCCAACTAAGAATGGTTGCTTCCTCCCTGCCTAAGTCACTTTATGTCTCTTCATTGGTGCTTTTTACTTCCTGCTCTGGAAATTGGTGATCCATGTGCTTCCTTCTTCCCCCATTTCCCGGAATTGTGGGCTCTTTGAGGGCACGGTCCCTGTTTAATTCAGCTCTATATACCGTGGTGCCTCGATACAGGAAAAGCTCAATATGTGGGGCTGGATCAATGCTACGGAGGTATGTGACCATTTTCTGGTTTCCTTATGGAGAGCGAATGAAGGTTCCAGACAGCAACCGAGAGCAAGGATAAGCCCCCCACCCCTTACTCCTCTGTTTAGCACTGAGTCCCCTGGAACCACTTACCAATACAGACAGGCTCCTGGAAATCCCAGAAGGGCTGGGTGGCATTGAGACAGGTGAGAAGCCTGGCACCCTTCAGCTGGTAGCCAGTGACACAGCGGAAGTGGGCGCTGCCTCCTGGGTGGAGGCTGGTGACAGTCACAGCTCCATAAGCAGGACGCCGGGGAAAGTGGCAGCTCAGGAGGTAGGCTACAGAGAGAGAATGTGTGTGTGTGTGTGTGTGTGTGTGTGTGTGTGTTGGGGGCTGAGTCATAGCCAGGGCATAGCCAGGGCTGAGTCATAACCAGGGGGCTGAGTCCTGCCACAGCCTGCCTGGAGGTGTCACTCAGGACTGGAGGAAGCATCGGGAATTCCAGGAAAGACTCTGATGCCCTCCCCAGAAGAGGCCAGCAATATTTCCAGCAGCCTGGGCTGGTGAGTGGAGCAAGCGCAGAGCTGGAAGTTAGGAGGCTTGGGTTCTGATCCAAGCTTTCTGACGCTTTTGGCAAGTTTTTCAGCCTTTCTGTGTCCCAGTTTCTCATTTGTTAAATGAGGTTCAAAATGCCAGGCTACCTATGGGGTTATTAAGAGAATAAAGGGGATAGTATTTTATTCAGCTTGGTATCTCTGGAATCCAGCTGAGAGCACATCTTTAAGGAAGGTTTATTGAATGACTTAGAGATGTGAAAGCACTTGAAACAATGACAAGTCTATCCTGATGTAAAGTATTGATACTATTTTTCCTATAGGGGATGGCTATGAATTACAGCCAGAATGACTGAAGTCAGATAGTAAAAGCTTTCCCAGTATTCACTGGCAAGGACTGTGGACTCCTTTTAAAAACAGGATGGGGCGAGGGTGGGGAGGTAGAACACGCCTTCTTTGGAAGTTGAGGGAAGGACAAGTTGCCTTGGGAAGCTTCATAACTTTTGGAATTGTCATAACAAGTATGACCGAATGGTGGCGGCAAATCCCACAAAACAACCTGGAAAGGCCCAGCCCGGAGCCAAGCCCGGGCGATAGCTAAAAATGGGGGTCAGGGATTGGGTCCCAGAGGGGGAAAGAAGGCTGGAGGGGTCAAGGAGAGAGGCAGAGTGAAGGCTTGGGCTACAGAGTCTGAAAACCCGTGAGGGTCGTAAGAGGGATGGGGATTGTCTCGACTGAGGATCTTGGGGTGGAGGGGCCCACCCTTATTGATGGCACCAGGTGGGTGGGAAGAGAGGTCTAAGCAGGTCCAGAGGTCCTCGGCTAGCCTCTGTGTGATTCGTGTGAATAGAAAAAGAGGCCGCCTCTGGGAAGAACAGGATCCAGAAATGAGTTTCATGATTTCACCCGTCCTGGCTATCATCACTGGGTTTGTGAAAGGGGAGAGGATGATTCTTACGCTTCCCTCTCTCATGGCCAGTGAGTGGTTACTTGTGATTGGCAGGCACAACAGGGCAGCGCTTAGGGGATGGGTTCTGGGGTCTGACTGCCTGGGTTTGAAGAACACAAGCTCCCCTACTTGCTGTGCCACCTTGGGCAAGTTACCTAACTTCTCTGTGCCTCCGTTTCCTTGTTTACCCACTCATTTCGAGTACTGCATCCAGTGTTGTTACATGAGAGGTTAACTGAGAGGACATATGCGTAATTCCTGGCACAGAACAAGTACCAAATGTCCCAGCCTGCTGTTATTGTTCGTAATCTCGATTGATAAAAGCACCTCACATCTGCAGGCACCTTCCAGCTTCTAAAATGCCTTCACACTCTTACTTGAGGTCTACAACATGCTTGGGAGGAAGGAAGGCAAGGTATGGGTTATTAACTCATTTCCCAATAAGGAAAACTGAGGTTCAGAGAGACTGGGGGACTTGCCCTGATCCCACAGCCAGTAAGTGGTAGAGAGGGCGCTTGAAGATCCTGGCTCTAGAGCCCATTGCTTTCCATCTCCTGTCTCCCACCTGCTTCCCCTGGTGAAGTAGAAACCAGGGTTCAGGAGTCAGAGGAACCCATGAGTTCTAGACAAGGCTGCCCTGGGTGGTTGGTGAGGGTGGCCCCTCACAGTGACCTGGGGAGAGACCCCCGGCCAGAGCGGGATAGGGAAAAGAGTGTGGGGGGCACCCCAACCAGAGTGCAGGGAGGGGGGTGACACCCAGACAGGTCAAGGTCATGAGCCAGATGTCCTTATATCTTTCCTGTGGTTCTTATCACAACTCTGGGAAAGAAGGTCCCCCATTTCACGATTAGGAAACTGGGCTGGGATGAGGTGAGAGCAGGAGGTTGGGGGCAGATGAGGAAGCCCCCAGACTCCATAGTGGCCACTTCCCAGGAGGAGCGTCCTCCTGTTGCCATGACTACCGTTCCCAGGGAGCCTGTATGACTGCAATCTGTTGAGCTATTTTCTCCCCAGCGTCTGTTTCGGGCCAAGTCCAGTGCCAGGAATGCTCAGGAGGGAGGAGGGGCATGCCTGGCAGGGCCCTCTGCCTCCTCACACTGCCTGAGGCTGTGGGAGGGGAGTTGGAGCCCGGTTCTGCAGATGAGGCCCTTGTTGTGATCTCCAACATTATCTTGGATAGCTCAGGCAGTGATGTGGGTACTAGTCCCCTCGCCCCCTCTTCTGGCACCCTTTTTCTCCAGCCCGGGGAGACACGCGTGTGAGCACATGCTCCTCCTGTTCCCATCTCTGGGATCAGGGCTAATTACAGCCTATAATTAGGGGAATTACACTCATTAAGGAAAGAGCTGATCATTGACAAAAACTGGGCCGAGGAGGGAGGGCTTCTGGGAGCTGAGCAGAAGGCAGGGCTGGGCCAGCTCTCCCAGCCCCTCCCTGGGGTCTGCACCCCTCGCTGGGCCTCCAGCTCACTGCCTTTCAGCCACCTTTGTCTGGACCAACAGAGAAAAGGTCCAGGGTTTTGTGCAAAGGAAGTTGCGGCAAGAGAGAAGGTTACCGTGCCGTGAAATTATGCCCGCTGCTAGGGAGGCTTGATGAGCCATTAGGGAGGCTGGCCCGGCCGCCTAGATGCTCACCCTTGTCTCAGCTGGCCCCCTGCCTCTGCCGAGCCCCTGGCCAGCCCCTGCCCACCGCCACGCTCCCTGCTGCCACGCCAGACTGCGCTCCCAGTTTGGGTGGAGAGGCTAGGGATGGGCAAGTGCTTCTTAGGTGGGTTCCGAACATCCCCATCTCCAGCGCCTGTCCTCCTCCCCGGGCTATGGACCAAGCAGGGCTGCAGGATGGGTCCCCGACAATGCAGGGCAATGCCATAATTGTTCACACCGATTATTTCCCCATTAGCACTCCCCAGTCTGAACTGGTTGCCCTGTCAAGAAGACTTTGCCTGGGGGAAGGGGGCCAGGAGAGATGCTGATGGAAGAGGGGCAGAGGCAAACCCCCTTTCCTCCCTTTCCCATCCTGCCATCTCTTTAATACTTGTTTCTGGTTCCTTCACGGAACACGCTAAGTTCACGGAACGTGCTGTATTAAGCACTTCACATGAACCCTTTTGTTTAATCTTCCTCATGACTTTATGGAGTAGGCATATTGGTCACGTGGTACAGCAGAGGAAAAGGAGGGTTAGAGAGGTCCAATGACCTGTCCAAGGTCAACAGCCAAAGGGAAGGAGATTAAGACACAGATCTGCCCATCTCCTGAGTCTGTGATTTTCCCATTGTATCTTGCCACTCCCCTATTTCCAGAGGTGTTCTGAGCTGACTGGGGCATGAGCCTGGTCTAGGGTGGGTGAGGCAGTTCAGGAAGGCCAGATTGGTTGCTAAGGATCTCCAGATGGTCACTATCAAGCCCCTTTCACCTTGACCCCCTTCCATTTTGAAGAGAGGGCTTCTATTGTTATTGCCTATTTCAGTGTCTGCACCCCTAGAGATTCTGAATTCCTTGAGGTCAAGGACTTGGAGGATTCATCCTGATATTGCCAGTGCCCAGCACAGCGTAGCAGAGAGCAGATACCCAGGAAGAGTTTACTGAATGAGTGAATGAGTAAGTGGCAATGGGCACCTCAGGGCTAGCTGGTTCTGTGTCAGGCCCCCTTCACAAACAGTTCTCTGTAGGGTGGTAGGTGGAGGAGGAAAGGTTCTGGAGGTGTCAGATGTGCAATAATCACCTTTAGTTGTACCGAGTGTCACTGGGCGCCTGTGACTGCCCCCCTGACTCCCCACCCCCACACCTATAATAGCACCAGAGATCCCCAGGAGGGCACCCAGTCTGGGCTGGTTCTTCCCCCAGCTGCCCAGGCCTACCTTGGTAGTGGAAATGGAAGGTGCCAGGCCCAGCAGGTGGTGGGAGGCTCTGGAACCTCAGTGCTGCTTGGTGGGTGGGGCTACGGATGACTTGGCCCCTCAGTAAGAAAGACTGGTTGGCCAGGGGCAGCGGGTCAGGCCCCCCCAGGCCCTCCACAGTCACCGTCTCCCCCTCTCGGAGGCTGATGTTCTGGACCTGCCATGGGATAGACAGTGCAAAGTGGAGCAGTCAGGCTTCCTCCTGCTGACTGAGCCCTGCCGCCCACAGACTCCCTGGGGCCCCAGGCATGGCCCATCCTCAGGGCCGCTTGGCCACTGGAGCCCCCAGGCGCTGAGTTGGGCACTTGAGCACAGGAAGAGCTCATTTCACCTTCCCAGTAACCCTGCGAGAGGGGATCTGAAGTTCATATCCAAGGTCACATAGAGATTATTAGCAGAACTGAAATTTGCAAGCATGTCTTTCTGTCTCCAAAGCTTTTCAGTGACACCAGGACACCAGCTGCGTCCTGTCCCTTCACTTCTCTGGGCTCAGTTTTCTCATCTGTAAAGTGGGCATGGAGCAGGTGTGTTGAACTAGAGGGTGTCCAAGGGCCTGGCCAGCCATGTGAGGTCTTTTAAGCATCAGAGCCACGTGCCCAGCTTCCCCTGGACGCCCGCTATTGGATGCCTCACAGGCACCCCACCCCCAGCCCGCCTCATACTGAGCCACTCTCCCAGCCCCCCTCCACCAGCAGCTTCCCTCTCCATCCACCTGCACGCCCAAGTTCGAAACTGGCATCTTGCCTCTTCCCTTACACCCCACGGCCAATCAGTCATTCAGCCCGGTCTCCTGGACCCAGATCTTTTTACTACTCTTCATCCCCCCTGCCACTTCCCAGCTCCTCGCTACTATTGCTCACCTGGAGTGCTGCAGCAGCCTCCTGGCTGGCCTCCCTACCTCCAGGGCTTCACCCACTCCTCCCTCCTCATAAATACTTTCTGAACTGCACCCAGCTAATAGCCCCGACCTGTGGCCGACCATCCGAACATAGTGAAATCCTTTGGTGGTGCTCCACTGAGCCCTCAAAGCCCCCACTATCTGGTCCAAATGCCTTGCTCTGGCCCTCAAGGCCCTGCCCACCTTGGCCTCTGCAGACTGCTCAGCCAGCCTCACTTGCCCACACTGCAGTCAGAGGCTACACTTTACCTCCAGGCCTCTGGGCATTTGCATATGCAGGAAAAGCCCTCTCCTCCTGCCCTCCTGGTGAAGCTGGTCATTCTTTCAGATCCCAGGACCACCACCCTTAGCCTCCCAAGCCAGGCCAGTCAGTTCTTTTGCCTTAAGCCCTCCCCACCTGTCCTCTCTGTTCTTCTCCATTAAAGCCCAGGGAGGCATTTGGGGTCACAACGCCCTCTTCAATGGCCAACCGCAATAAAGATGTGTGGAGAGAGTGAATGCGTGGACCCCTGGAAGTACATTCTTCACCAGATTCCTGTGAGCTGAGGAGCACAGAGGATGGATGCTGAGCCCAGGCGGGTTAGAGGAGGCAGCCGCGCTCTGGGCCCCTGAGACCCTGCGTGCTGACAACAGATGTGCCCCAGGGACTTCTCTGCCCGAGAGAAAAGACCCAGTGCGTCTTTGGGGCCCAAGAGAAGGCTCAAGGCAGGGTGCTAGGGCAGAAGTGTTGGCCCTCCGTGAGGAGACTCCCTTATAGGGCACATTCGGGTGGCGGCTGCCGGACCATCTGCTGGGGACATTCCTCAGGGAATTCCTGCCGCAGGCAGAGGCTGGATGAGGTCCCTTCAAACTTGGAGATTCTACGATTCTAGAGTTGGGCAAACAAGACTCACACACGTGGAATCTGTAATTATCGAGAGATGCCAGGCAGCATATAATTCTGCCTTAAGTGGCACTGAATGCATGCAGCAGGAATCCTGGGGCGGGGCAGGAGCGGCTCAGGGAGAGTCCGAGAGGGCCTCAGGGGGGCTGGACCGGGAGCAGGAGGCGGAGGGAGGGAGGACATCCCCACAGGGAAGTGACTAAGGAGGCAAAAGCAGAGAAGCAGAGATGAACTTAGCATTTTTCCTAGTTGCCGTAAGTATCCTTTGACCTATAGCTTCCAGCCTGTGACCCCACTGCTCTGTCATCTGCAGGGACAACACAGCAATAACAATCAGCATTCATGGAGCACCTACAGCCATCAAGCCCTGTTCTGTTTACAGGCATTACTTCCTCCCCTCCACACTTCTGTAAGGTGTGCGGTAAAATCCCCATGAGTAAACCGAGGCTCGGAGAGGCTAAGGAACTGGCAAAAGGTCACCAAGGTGTTAAGTAGCAGAATCTTGCCTTGCTGGAGGCAAAGGCAACTCCTTCCCTCCCAGCCTGCTGCAGCTGTCACCTGCAGACAGACATCCAGACATCTGGATGTTTATTCCCAGACCCCAGGCCCACCAGCTTTAGCAGTGGGGGTTCGGTCAGACTGGGCTTTTTCCAAGAGGTTGAGATTTATTCCAACCCTCCCCCCCGCCCAAGAGGCCTTTAAGGCTGGGAAAAGTGGGAGCTGAGGCTTATGGCCCCCTCCAGCTAGCCTGGCCTCCAGCACAGCCTGGTGGTGAGGGCTGCCATGAGCGTGGGATGCAGTGGACCTGGGTGGCCCGGGGCTCACATCCAGGAGGTACCCTGTTCTCAGCTAGAGGCTGTCTATGCAGCTCTAGTCCCCTGGGTTTCAAGCACCCACTTGCCGGCCTGCTGCAGTGGCTGCAATGTAATTTGTCACTTGTTTGAGGGCCAGGCCTGACAGGGGCCAGACAGGGCTGAGTGTTGGACAAGGAGGGTGATGAAGTCTTGATGCAATTTGCAGGCATCCGAAGAGCCTGGGAGACTGAAATGTCAGCTCTGCTCAACAAGGGCTGTCTTCCCACACCCCTAGCCTGTGACTAGGGGTGGGGGAGCTGGGGGCCAGGTAGGGGGAAGCTAGAGCAGAGGGAGGTGAGGACAATTCCCACAGGACCCTGGGCTGTCTAGCACTGCCCAGCTTCCAGCCGACCATGAGGTCAATTCAAGGAAGGAAATATAACCACTTTGAGGGGGCCAACTCCTTCCTGAATGGGAGGTGGGGAGGAGTTAGGTTGCCCTCTGCCAGCCCCCCAGA